GCTGATGGGCTTGGCCTTGGCCAGCGGCGGGTCCATCTTAGAGCCACCTGGCATTAGCTTTATCAGACATGGGGGAAGCTTCTCTCAGCTTCTCACAGAAGCCACCCCTACAGCCCCCCAGCTACCAAAACCTTGCCACGCAAACCCATAACAAACGCGCAGACCACTCAGCTGTTTAAGCCTTCGTTTCCGATGGTTTGCAAGGGATCGGCGTGGCCACTCTGAGCCGCAGCGTTTGATCTCTCACGCGCTGGGAGCGTCCCAAAGATCCACTAGAGAAGAGGATGCCATTGCTCGGGTAGTGCCAGGGGTGCTGAAGGGCGAAAGGGCATAAACGCGTAGGACATCAAGCTTTATCTGCAGAAACAGATTCCTCAGGAAACGCGTCTGTCACCTGCTTATGTAGAGGGGTCAACTAAACAATACGCCTATGCGTAGGAAGGCCACTGTTGTAGATAATTTTACATGCAGACCTGTTTCAGCTGGGGCACTTGGTAATCAACAGAAGCATCTTCTTGGTAATAAAAGCAATGTCTACATTTAGATGATTTTCTGTTTCAGTTGTGTACCAGCAGTATAGGCTAGACTTCAAAAGTCAGAGCCGATAACACAAGCTAGAGCTCTGATGGCCTGACAACCAGTTCGTATTCCTTCCTTCCCCTTCAGATTTAAATACATTAGCGCTTCCCTACATAAACCCTCAATTATCTGAAATGATAATAATAATTATTATTGCCATAATTATAAAATTGTTATTATTATCATCATCACCATCATCTTCATACTAGTTAAAAGGGAAATAAACACTGAGGAGCATGCCTGCACACTGGTATATTGGTGGTATGTGGTTGTAATTACACCAAAGAGCTTCAGAGTGTTAAACACTTGGGTGGGTGGGGTTTACCAATTCAGGTTCATGGGTTTTACTCAAATTCTCCACAGTAAAATCTGCTTTTTGGCTAATAGTATTAATGCCAGTAGGAAATTCTTTTGCAAATACTATGAAGAAAATAAAATAAATTGTGATAATATTTCAAAACCAAAAATCTTCATAATGCACATAGATCCTTCTCTGCCCAGTGCTCCTGAAAAAAAAGAGATTCTTACGCTGTGTTCTCTTTTTTTTTTCCTTAATGTCTTTAATTTGAAGCATTTTTTTCTCTTCCCTAGAGGGACATAGATGAATCTGTATATAAAAGGTATCAGCCAGATAGTAACAAATAAAACATCAAAACTCAGAGAATCTTGGATAAAACACAGTATGTGTTTATTGAAAATTTTCAAGAGAAAGAAGCAATATATTTCATTGTTAAACAAACAACTGAAGTGGTAACCACAAAACACTTTAACATTTCATTAATCAAAACTTTCTGTCTACCTGGCAAAATATGTATCAAACTGTTTTAACTATTAAGATCAAATATTAGTATTTTTAAAGAAATATCAAGAGTCCTGGAAAATCATACTAAAAATATTTTATCATTCACAAATTGAACGTGATAGCCACAAAGGTGCTCATCTGTTTTTGTATTGTCAAGGTGTTTTCATGTTTAAACTGATGTACGTTACAATTTCTTACTTTCAGGATCAAAATAAAGATTATGGTAGTCTCCTCAGCAATTGTTATATATCCATTTCAAATATGGTTTAGATAGAGTAGTATTTTATTTTATGAAAAAAAGTACCTTTTCAGATTACATCTTTCTCTCAGCAATCTAATAAACACAAGCTCATGTTTACCTCCATCTACATGGACTTCAGGTAAGAAAAAATATGCCTCACATCTAAGATGAAGATAAAAACATACAGATTTCTTCTATGCCTTAAAGAATTAGTTAAAATGGCTGTATTGCAGAGTTACATCAGTAAACTAGTAGTTTTGCGAGCTTTCATCTGCATTTTATTCACTGGCTAGCGTTTCAATTCAGTTAGCTAAATGAAGGCAGAGAGACTGGAAAAGTGTTAGTTTTTGTTGATAGATTTGTCTGCAGAAGGACATTTGTTAGCACAGCAAGGCTGATCAAGAACAAGGGAAAAAGATGAAGCAGCCTTGCTAGCAAAACTATATCGACCATACCTCCACGTATATCCGAAGATTATAAGTTGGTGTGACATAGATTTTACAGAACAAAGTGTCACAGACTCCTTCTAAATGATTCAGAAAGCTTTGTACCTATTTTCCCTTTTAAGAAATTATGAATAATACGGTTCTTAAAAAAAACCAGCCTGCCAGATTAACGCCCTTAAAGGCTCCTGGAGCAGGGCGTAAGTTTTCAAGAAGAGAAACAAAATTTACGTCAAATTCTAGTTCCTGAGAAGAGCTAAACACCATTTCAGCAACAAATAAATAAATAAATAAATAAAATCGGTATGCATTCCTCTCATTTTTATTGTTTTTTAAATTCTGTCAATGTACATATTCTTTTTGTGCAATATTTTAAAATTAAGAACGAATTTTCCATCTATAGCTCCTTTCACTTTGCTAGAATTCAGACATAAATACAAAGTAAAGGCACTAACATTTTTCATCCTTTATACAACTTCAGGTTTTCCTTAAACATTATAGACAATGCAGAAATATACTAAAGAAACCCCAAAAGAATGAATGGAAATGGCAATTTCCTTGTTCCTATTCTATCAGAAAGATGAAGTAGTTTGGCTAATTTTGAAAACAGGAAAAAAAAAATTTGTTTGGTGACTCAAATGCTCACAAACCAAAATCCTCCCATTTTCAGCTTATATTAACTGGATTTCCTTGTTGTTTAAAACAAATTTTGGATCAAAAAGCATATCCAACCGTTATGAATCCAGGTCGGATAGTTCAATACCATTCCCGGACGTTTTAAGCACATCCTTGACGACATAAAGCTCAAGGTGCAAGAGTGGCATCAGGTAAAAGAGAGTAGGATTGCAATGTCTCAACAAAACGTTCGTTAGAGGAAGATTTTCTTTTGTCAGAATGATAAGGTAGAAAAAGATTGTTGGATCTGTGGCCCGAATGTCACCAACCAAAGGAGCCTGCCGTCAGCAGGCAACTCTTCTTTCAGCAGTTTACACTGTAGCCCCACCTGAAAAATGAGGATTGAACATTCAGCATTTCCACCATGGATACCTTTTGCCAGCTCTCCTGGGAATTTATGTCTCTGGTCCTTCTGAGGGAACCTTGTATCCCCCGAGACAGAAAGACAAAGAGACAGACAGCCTTCCCTGTCATTGCCAGGGCTGCAATGGGGGCCCCGGCCGGAGGGTACATGGGGTGCCCCAGGCGAGGCGGGTCTGGGCCATGCAGAGCCACGACACAGAGCCATGACGGTCTGTGGTGGCAGGGACCTCAGGTCATGTAAATTCCTTCATAAAGTGACGTACATCCGTCTTCTGGGCACGTTATGGCTTCCTATACTTGTCCTTGATGAAGAATATCAATTACCAGTATCTGTTACAGACCAGTGAAGTTGCTAAGGACAAGATTTTCAAACACCCTCATCCCTGACCCATTTCTGCCCCCACTGAAATTGTCTGTAAAATTCCCATGTACTTCAGCATTAAATCAGCTTGGAAAGTGGGAAACCGAGTTGGTCTTACCATGTTGTGGCTTGAAACAAAGTTTCTTGTTCTTGTAAGCGGAGTAGGCCGCTATCGATCCAACAACGAGTATTACAAAAGCAGAAATTATAGGAGATGTAACTCCAGCTATTAATCCTGAATCTGTAGAAAAAGAGAGAGGGTGTTTTTCAGAGGCACTGAAACGGTCTGACTTAAGCATATTCTCTACTAAGGTGTGCCTTTCCCAGACTGTAAGGATCATTTGATAAAACATTGGAAATTCATTAAATAGAATTAAGCAGAAGACTAGAAATTATGTTACATTACAGCTGCTGTGAAAATGGTGTCTTAAAGTGTAATTTAGTATATGTATCACTTTTGTAAGGTTAACATTTTCTTACTATTTTATGATGATCAGAAACATATTGTAGAATAAATTATTCACTATACCCGTGTTTCCTCCATGATTGAAATGATGCTCCTCTTCTCCTGGAATAGAGGGTGAAGTTTCATCAAGAAATATTTTTCATCTTGTTTTGACAGCAAAGTCTTTACTCAGCAAAGTGTGATTTTGTACGGAAGGTGAAAGGGGGTGGCTCAGCAGGACTGTAAGAGAGAAGCTCCCCTTCCAGTCCTGACTGACAGCTGCGCTGGCCGGAGGAATAACTGTCCATCCTCCCGACACTTCATTTTTGGAGAAGAATATTATCTTCTGAAAAAAGCATAATACTTAGCAGTCTACATCAAGCTGATTTCACAGGGAGTGTGAGGCCAGTATACTCTGGCTGTTCTCTACTGCCAGATAAGCAGATGATTTGTCACAGAATGGTAGGGGGTGGAAGGGACCTCTGTGGATCATCTAGTCCAACCCCCCTGCCGAAGCAGGGTCACCTACAGCAGGCTGCACAGGAAATTGTCCAGGCAGGTCTTGAATATCTCCAGAGAAGGAGACTCCACAACCTCTCTGGGCATTGTCAATGATTTAAGTCAAGATTCAGTTCTCGGCAGAAGCCCTGTGCTTTGGGGCTGTCCTAGCTGAATACAAATGGATGAATCCTGCAAGGTTCTGGCATGTGCCAGAATGCTACAAATTATTTAGGAATATGATTCAAGTTTGAGTTTCAGTCTCAAAGCCATAGTTTGTGGAGAAGGGTAACTAACCTAATTAAAAATAGCAGAGTCTTATGACAAACAGATTACCGCTGAAGCAAAACCAGCCAGCTCCGAGATAAAAGTATTAGGGAGAAGCTACAAGGAGAATTGGCAAATACTACCTGTTATGAGCGGTGGTAAAGGCTTCCCATCAAGGAGATCTGAGTCATCAAAACCTCCTGCAAGGTAAAGATTAGAATTTCTGTTGCAAAATTATCTGAACAATGGTAACCCCTTCAGCTCACTTGTCCAGTCTTTTTGTAGTGTTCTAGGGAGAGGTGAGGGACTTTTGAAATTCCAGCTTCAACATGGCAGATGGGTCCGATGTCTTTCACTGAATGGTCACCTATTCAAATTCACCTGGAAGCTGGAGTACTAGAACTGGTGGTGTCTACCCATTCTGCATGTGTATTGTCACATGTGGGATGTGTGGGCTTGGGCTCTCAGTAGCACGAATCCTTATATATGTGTATGTGTATATATATATATGTGTGTGTGTGCACGTGGACATTTCACGTCCCAGCAGTTCCTGGAACAGGAAGTCAGTGGATCCCTTCCAGGAGAGACTCTAGAAGGACTCCGGAAAGACCTGTCCACAGCTCACCACTACAGTCATATCAGAGGTAAATACGGGATACATGGTGGTAACTGGGATAGATGCACCACTTCCACTTTATGGAAGTGTCTGGGACTACACTCAAAACCAACACAGGCTTACATCCATCTCAGCAGTACCACCTGTTGTATGCCCCAGGGCCACCTCAGATGCACATCTCAGTATGGATTGGAACATAGGCTTATCCATGCCCTGTGGCTAGATGTCAAATTTGAACTTTAACATGGTTCAGTACATATATACCCAAAATGAACAGGCAAACAAGATGTGTGTTGGTCTCATGCCACTTCGGAGTCAATGTCCCACATTTTGGGCAGACCAAAAACCTTTATGGTACCAACACTAAAACTCAGAAAATCTTTCCAAACACTGGGTCAGGAACAGTGATTACAGAAGGGAGGTGGAAGGAAGGGATGATAAAAACTATTAACGAAGAAGTAAGAGAGTAAACTATTCACAATATCTTGTATGAACAGCTCGTAGTGATAGATTTTTTTAGGAGAAAATTTTCTTACCAGGATTAATGTGGCTTCCCGGTCGTGGTGGAAGAGGTGGGTATAAAGGTTTTCTTGGGATGTCACCTATTAATAATTAATATTGATTAGATGGTTGACAGGCAAACTGAGAGCTGTATATAAAGAGTGTGGTAACCTGAGATTTTACACCTATTGTTAATTTGTTCTCTGGTGAATTAAGAAAAGGACCTTGTCACTAGTTAAAAAGTCTCAAGCACTATATCAATAAATAGCTAGCTACTAAAATTAATTAGAAAGTGAAAAGGGAGTATTTTAAAAATTAAAATGAGAGAAGAATGCACAAAAAAGTTGAAGGAAAATATTTCATGTATTTCTGACAAGAGCTCACATTGTTTAATGCTGACAGCTGGGAAGCAGAGCGAGTTCTGTAGGTATCAGCGGTGCAGTTATGCAGAGCCGACACAGAAGCTGGTGTTCTGGGCTGGGCAGGATGTGACTGGTTATCTCTGTGCCATCAGCAGGTGTTAGTAAGATCTGGAGATTAGTTTCATCTAACACGTGCTGAATTCATCGAACGCATGATGAATTTTCTACTATTGAACAGTGCAAAATGAACTCAGACTTCAGCTTTGTTGTTTAGGACTTTGTGCTGGGATTTGGCCTTAATTTTTGCCAAAATATTAGGAAGACATGCATTGGATAGAGCAGGAGATCTGATGACTAATAGCAGTTTACAACTGCACATACAGTGCTGGAGTAGCACTCAGGTCAAAACCTGCCAAAGTTAAACCCCGGGGCTGTTGCTCTGCGTATATGGAGTAGGTCCCCTCTTGCTGTCCTTTCTCCAGTCAGTTCAAATTTCACTGTTCTCATAGCCAGACAGTGAATTTAGCTCTGAAGAAATCAAAGTTAAGTCACAGAAATAAATACCAATTTCCCTCCCTCTCCTTAAATCTTTCTTTCATCTTCAATGCATGCCAGATGCCCTTTTATCATGTTTTCTTTTTGCTTAGCTGCTAAATATAATGCTTCAGTTTGTGAATAACATTTAGGTTCTGATTCAGCAAATTTTTTAGATATATGCTTAACTTCAGGCAGGTTAGCCTACTGTAGTCAGTGGATTTTAGGTAGAGTCTTAAAGCTCTGCTAAATCAGACTTTGCCCAATTCATTCTATTCAACAGAATAAGAAACTTGTTCTGTTTGAGAACGCTGTGTCATGAACTAAGACTCACCATGGCACAAAAGCAGAAAACTACCTATCCCATTATTCATTTCTATCATGATGCTGCACTTCTTCAGCCTTCTCAAAGCATGAGAAAATATATTCTGTGGCATAGCTAGTGAAAAAAATAGTGTATTCGGACTATAGATAATGAGATACATGTCATTAATTCCCTTCTATCATGCATGAATATCAGTTAAGCACCTGAACTGAAAATGGAGCACAGAAATAAAAACTGAGGGAAACATCATCTGCCATCCTCTGAATGAAAAGGTGCGTTTTAGTGAAGATACTTAAGCTATTATTTAAGAATTTAATCAACATGCTAAACCTGTTCTTCCACAAAAGTGCCCATTAAAAACTTGCAGGAATGGAACAATTACTATGGGCAGGAAGAAGTGACAGTATAAACATGGGAATTATAAACAAAATTAGATTCAGCTTTATAAAATGTGGTCTAACCTGTCATTCAAACACGGGTATGAAATACCACAGGGGAACCTGGAAATGCAGAAAGCCCTGGAAATGGGAAAGAACATGCGATTCTCTAAGACTGAAACATGAGTAAACCAGACCACTTGGACTGGAGTCATAATTCAGAAGTTTTGTGCAACGGGCCGAGAAGTATTTTTTCTTTTGTGTAGTCTTGATTCAAGTGGAATATTAGGCTTTGATTTAATACTACTTGCACTTCAAATAACTTCAGTGTGCAAGAACCTTTCTAGAGCAAATCCCATCCTTGGTATACCTCCAAACATGCTAAGCAAAATGCGGTGCAAAAATTCCCAAAGCCAAGGATTTCAGATGTCTACACAGCTCAGCACAGTACAGAGACTGCTTCCTGGGCCAAGTCTGGATGCCATAGAAATACCTAGAAGTTATAGCAGGTTACGACAGCTTGGCTGCTTCAAGCTTAAGCTATACCTTGTCCACCAGTGCTCAACTCTGAAACATTCCTTCCTGCATTTCTGGTTTGGGATCAGCAGAACTATAGCAAGCTCTCACCTCTCTCTACCCACTGTCACCTCTGGTTCCTAATATGAGGCAGACTCATTTTTGGTAGCTGAAGAAACTACTGCAATCATCCGTTGTCTTCAGCCTTCTGCCAGAGGCCACCACCCTGAATCATCACAGCTGAACAGGCAGTACATGCTCTCCCCAGCCATGACCGTGGCAGCCTGGCATGGTCACGTAGGCTGTAGCTGACTTCAGCTCATGCAGGCAGGCCAGCCTGCCAGCTCCCATAGCTGCCCACCAGACACAACCCGTCCTGCTGTCCCTGCTCTGCAGGACGGCCTCTGGCAAAGCGGCTGCATGGACTTGAGTAGCAATGGCTCCCACCACTACAGTTCCACCTGCAGTCTCAAAATCTCTTTTCAAAAATTAGGTAGACTTCAGAAAAAGACTACAAAGAATACCCCAACTGTTATATCTGAGAAAAGAGAGTACTCACCCCCACCAAAAGCATCTCCTAAATGCAGATCATTGTCTAAAAATGAAATGGAAGAAGATGTCGAGAAGTGAGTACCACACAGTTCTTGAGCGAAGTGAGGTTTTTTTAGCTTTCAATAGAAAATGTACAACTGAATGTCTGACAAGGAACTGTTTTTTAGGTCAGGCATGCAGATTCAAATAAGACATTCAACTTTTCTTGAAAATTCTTATAGAGTTTAATATTTGCCCATAAAATAATTGACAAATGAGATAATATTTTCTACTCAAAATACAAAGAATTTATTCTGGCTTTAAATAAGCTCAGAATAAATTTCATGGTAGAATCAAGATCAATACCTCTTTAATTATTTGCAAGTATATAAATAAGATTAGCTATATTACAGTTAAAATATGTCTATTTTTTAAAATAGACTTATTTATTAACATTTATGTCTGTGGTTAGAACTGGTATATGCATGCTTGGCTCAAGTGTAATTTACTGAACTGCAAATACTGAATACCCATTTCAAGAACAAATACTGAGAAGTAATAAACCTACTTAGGGAGAGAGAAGTGAATTGATTAATTTATGTAAAGGGCATGGTGACATAAAAGAATTTTGCTTTGAGCAATCATATGCGCCTGTCTGAGGCTGGGTGACTCTGTTTTTCTTTGGTTGAGTATAAAGGTTTTAAAATAAATTTAAATGCCTGCATGGGCATGTAACACAGTGAATCAACAGGCTGTTTCCATTCCCTGAGCACTGCACATGTGTCACTGTACCTGGGATGGAATTTTCCATCCAATAAAAAATTTGTCAATGAGTTGCAGATGCATAAACAGAAGGAACTAATTTCTGACATGTGGGTGTAGATAGGAGTGTGTGGGTGACATTTTAGGGTGCATATGGAATGACGGTGAGCTCTGAAAGGTCACTGAGTAATAGGCAGAAGTACATTAGATGGATGTCATAACTTTAAGCATCCCTTTCTTGCTCCTTATAAATGTGGAGTGCTGGAATCAATCAGAAGGACAGAAAAGTCTACCTAAATTTTGATACAGATGCTTATTGCCACAGAATATTAGGTAGACACTAAACTACTTTTTTTCATCATAATTGTATCAGAATTTCCAAAACCCAGGAAAATCCATCCAAATGGATCACCGTGCAGAAGTCTGCTGTCACATGTTCTTTATACCCAAAGGGAGTGGGAAGATGCTTTTGCGCAGTATCTAGTCGCATTTGCATGACAACTGAGAAATGCTTCGATGTCACCAAGAAATCTGGCAGGAAAATCATCAGATTCATACTACATGACTCGGTTTGTTCTCGTTGAGCCAGATGTTGATCCTGTCTGTGTCTGGCCAGCAGAGAGTTGCATTTCAAAAATACCTTTACATGTCAAATGCTAACACTGTAAGAAGCCATAAATTGCAAACTGGGTTCAAGTTAGTATCAAGATGAAGAACTTGGTTAAAAGGCAGTGTTCCACTGTGGAGGCTTCATGCAGAGATTTGTTACAGAAATGTTAAGGTTGGTATGAATGAAATACAAATGGAAACATGGGTGTCTGTAGGGACCAGAAGAAACAGCAGAACAAAGGGTTAAGAGACCAGACAATAAAGGTCACTGTTCCCAGCAGTAAAACTGAGGAATGTGTTGTTTCTGTCAAAACCAGCAGGCCCGCGCTCCGATAAGATGATGGCACAGATGACTGGTCAGCAGAGGCAAAGCAGAAGGGCACTCTCGAGCCAAGGGTTGCAGCATATCACCTATTCCACTACTGTTCCTGTTTGCCCACCCAGAAAACAGACTGCAGGCGCGGTCTGCGTATCCCAAACAAGCAAAACCAGACACTGGGCAGCAACCTGGCCTACGGTTCAGAGACACTGAAGGAAGCAAGATTATGAGCCAAAGGGCCTCTCTGGAATAGCTGATGACTCCTAAAGGATATGAAAGACCTGTGCATAAACTGGCTTGTCATTTCTGAAGAACCACAGAGACAGGGACTCAGGACCTGGCGTACTTTGCCCTGTGTTATACATGACGCTCACCAAACCACCTGAGCACGCACATCTTGGTGCTCATGAGTGTGTGGGTTTGAACATTTGGCTGAATTAAATCAATGGCAGGATGAATGTGAGTAAAATCAACTTATTTAGAGATTATGTAAATAAGCCTCACCTCCTCCTTCCATTAAATCTTGTGATGAATTTTGTTACACAAGATGGGAGGTGCCTACAGGAGAGCTTCAACTCAGGCAGAGGTTTCTGTGTGGGAAGCGATGCCCAGAGGACATGGCCTGTTGGCCCCAGCTCCATTAAAATCATCATCTCAGCCAGCCTCATTTCTCAATGATACTGGGTGAATGAGACAAAGAGGAAACCCTGAGGTTAAGATGAAGCATCAGGCAGGTGCTAGGACATACTTTTGTATCATCTTTCTGCACGTTTCCAAACCCAGTACCTGATTTTTAACAGGTTTTTTTTTTAATTAGTTTTAATTGCTTTTAAAGTCCCTGTAATCCTCTTCAGTGCTGAAAGATACTCCAGAATTCTCTGGAAAAAATGGAGTTCTTCACTGCAAGAATTAGTGAAGTTGATTCAGGTAAGGTAGATAATCGTCTGACTGTCCTATCTCTAACAGATTTAGGAGTCCCTAAAAATTAAATTGCTTTCACCTGACTGAGGCAGCTGCACTGTGGATACTGGCATCCCTAAGTTACCTTTAAACACGGCAGAGAACAGAGTCTTTTAGGGCACGATGCAAGTAACCTACTTGAAATGTCTATATTAAGATGAGAACAAATCCACATTTAGGGTGATATGAACTGTCCCTACACATCCTGATTTCTCTCCACTGACCTTAACGGAAGTCAGGACAGCTATCTCAGTAGAGGGTAATGGCTTAGCAGCACTTTACAACAGACACTTCCATTCTAGGCCAAACAGAGTTTTTCTTTGCAAAACAGAGTGGGAAGGAAGAATGCAACAATTACCAGATTTGGTAGCTATCACAGTTGCAAAATGCTGCCTTGTTTGCTCAAAGAGCAAGCCAGAGAATCGTGTGGAAAATGTAACTGCGTTCGTGTACCTGAAGACTTATTGTAATGTTTATCCAGAAAAAGACTGAAAGTCATTGTGTGGGCTAATGTTATACAGCACTTCCCGATTCAAGCATTTTGTTTGACAGTCAGAAATTTATTTCACTGTAGTTTAGGTGAAAAATGTCTATGATATCATAAAATGTTCCATCATGAGTACATGTATGGTTTGGTTGTTGTTTGGGGTTTGGTTTTTTAAACACTAACAAGTGTTTATTGGAAATCAGCATTTGTCATTCTCAGGACTACAGCTAAGACCTTTCTGTCCTCTGGCCTGTTCAGAGCCTTTTTTCCCTTCTGACACAGGTCACAGTAGCAATCAATACTAGATAATGTTAAGTAAATACACAGGGAGAAGGAATAATACTAGAATTCTTTCTGATTTTTTTCCAAGTCTGTTATCAAGCATCATGAATGTGGCTGGAAAGCTGCCCAGTGGAAAAGGACCTGAGGGTGCTGGTCGACAGCCAGCTGAACATGAGCCAGCAGTGTGCCCAGGTGGCCAAGAAGGCCAACGGCATCCTGGCTTGTATCAGGAATAGTGTGGCCAGCAGGAGTAGGGAGGTGATCGTGCCCCTGTACTTGGCACTGGTGAGGCTGCATCTGGAGTGCTGTGTTCAGTTTTGGGCCCCTCACTACAAGAAAGACATTGAGGTTCTGGAGCTTGTCCAGAGAAGGACAATGAGACTGGTGAAGGGTTTGGAGAACAAGTCTTCTGAGGAGCGGCTGAGGGAGCTGGGGCTGTTCAGCCTGCAGAAGACGAGGCTGAGGGGGGACCTTATTGCTCTCTGCAACTACCTGAAAGGAGGTTGTAGTGAGGCAGGTGTTGGTCTCTTCTCCCAAGTAACTGGTGATAGGATGAGAGGCAGTGGTCCCAGGTTGCACTAGGGGAGGTTTAGACTGGATATTAGGAAAAGTTTCTTCACCAAAAAGGTTATCAAGCATTGGAACAGGCTGCCCAGGGAAGTGGTTGAGTCACCATCCCTGGAGGTCTTTAAAAGACGTGTAGATGTGGCGCTTAGGGACATGATTTAGTGATGGACTTGGCAGTGTTAGGTTAATGGTTGGACTCAATGGTCTTAAAGGTCTTTTCCAACCTAAATTATTTTACGATTCTATGAATATTTGTGCTAAAAGAAAAGATAATGTAAAAAAAAAAGTAGAAGAATAGTTACCATTTATAGCAACAGTTACCCATGGTTATACTCCCCAGGGAGTTCAGTACAGGCTGGAAAAGTGTGAAGAGGATCTTCAGGAAATAAAATGCCATCAGTGGCCAGTCATGCTCTAAAGCCTTACTGGAAGCAGTAAAGACATGAAATTGGTAGTTGTGAAAAAAACCCCTTAGTTTACATACAGAAGGTAGGTAGTATTCACCCGAATGATCTTAGCTATGGTACATTAGAAAATACGATCAAGAATCTCATGGGAGACAGTTTCTGCTATCTAAAATCGGTTATGACCCATTGCCTTCTTTACTCACTCAGCACAGGCCTGGTCGGTCTTCTGATCACTGTAGGCTTCCTGGTAATTATGTCGTCTGTGGGACACAATGACATATCAACAAACAGTAACAGCTTAAACTTTTTCAACTTCACAAAAGAAGGTATCTGCAAATCTAGAGAGCTGCATTCAATAATTCTTTAGGTATGACAGCAGAAGCTAAAAATGAAGGGATATCTTTTCAAAGCCATAATTTTTTTTGTTTGTAAAAAAATTAATTTTATGACAGAAACATTGATATCTAGCATTTCCCAGTTCTGTATATCTTTCATTTAAGTACTAGCCACCTCATATTCCAGTCCCCGAGGAAAAGGACTTGAGATTTATTACTGGGTCTAAACGCTATAGTAAAATAAGTATAGGAGATTTACCTACCTGGATGATCAAGAGCATCAGCTAAATCAAAGTCACGTTGACCTAGAAGGAGGGTGACAGAAGGAGAGAACAAGTCAGTGGGCAGGTTTCCATGAACCCCTGGTCTGAGAGCTCTGGACAAAGCCAGAGCACCAGTAAGAGGCAAAAGCAAAATCCATCCAAACAGGAGCAGGCTCAGGGCAAGCTGTCAGCTGTCGTCCCTGCGCCGTGCAGCCCTGCATGACCACGCAAGTTGGGCTCATTGGATTCCCAGAGGCTGCTCATTCGGGGGGCGCAGAGAGAAGCCGCTGCTGTCTCAGCTCACCCGCGCTCAGCCGCTGCGCAGACGTGCCTTTGACGAGCACAGGTCGCAAGGGCTCTTGCGAGGCCACGGCTGGGAGTAGCATTCAGCACGGTACCGGCAAACCAAAATTATAAATTGAGAACTTTTAATATCTTCGTTACTGTTTTGCTAGCTCAGCTGCACAGAGCAGCTTCGCTGGCAAGCCTGCCTTGTGATCACTGGTAACATGAATCAGCCGGGTTTTTTAATTCTTCCTGTAACATGTGCCAGCAGTAAAAGCTATAAAGATGCATTTACCTAATTTAGTTTCCGCTGTACCTTAACAAATCTGAAAGGGGAGAAAAGAACCCTTCCTGTTCTGTGTTAGGTGACAATGGTGTCATTAAGTGTCACAGCGGGGCAATTAGCATCCTGACCTTTGAAGTTAGTAGGTAAATGAAACTGGAAAATGTTTAAAATGTATTAAACTGAAGCATAAGACTTTGAACTGAACAAACACAGTCATTCGTGTGAGTTTTACTTTCCACTCTCTATAGTCTGCCTCTTTCCTTTCAGTATGCAGCCTTCATGAGACACCTCTTTGCAGAGTATGTATCCATTAGTCTTCATCCGAACTGAAACTTCGCTGTCCTTGTGTTTGCACACCAAATACAAGATCAGCCTGCACAAACCCGCAAACAGTCACAACGTGCCGTGACTTCCCTAAGCAGAAACGTTTTACTGTGCTCTATCGAGTAAGCCTCTTGATCTGCATCTGTTTCTTATCCTGTCTAAAAGCCTTAACATCTAACTCTTCGATGAATTGTTTTTCTTGGTAAGTCTTGAACACTTCCCGGCAAGAAAGGCGTCATTGTTCAGGTGGGGAAACTGAGGAACGGAGAGGGGTGGTCAGAAGTTCTCCAGCGCGGCAACGCTCTGCGTTCAGCTCAGACCTCTCTTCCTGGCAGGTACTGTCTGTCTTCATGGCATTTGTCACATTAATCACTGTTCCTGAATAATAGCTCTCGCCTGTGTCGGAGAGCTCCTGGAGAGATTAATTATCAGTGGTAAAGCACTGTGTGATCCTCAGATAAAAATCAGCACAGGGGCATAAAGTAGAAACGTTTTGATTCCCGCGAGGATTTTTACGTAAGTCTGTGAACTTAATTACAGCCGGTGTCTGACGGGAAAGATAAAGCGAGGCTGGAATGCAAAATAGGGGATGGCTTCTGAAGCAAACTGTCCCTATAAAATAGCATGACAAACCCGTGTTTGGAAAGGAAAAGCAGATAACAGCGTCAGGCTTTCCCGGCAATGTTATTAGAGCAGCATTTTGTCTCTTGTTATTTGAACTGACCTTGGAGTGTCACCTCATCCGACCACCTCTCCTGCGCCTGCCTGGGCCACTCTGCCAACCCAGCCAAGTCCAGTAGCCTTTGGACTGGGTCCTTAGATGGATAATATTCCAAGACCCTGACAGGTTATTTTTTCTGTATGAATCCATTAAAATACATAAATATGTAAAACTGACAAGATATTCCCTGCTTGAGCCCCGAGGGGACCACTGGCCCTTGCTGGCCCTGAGCCCCTGCCTGTGGGCCGCCACAGCCCTGCTCCTGCCCAGCCATGGGACCGTTCGATCCCGATGCAGATCCCCACCTTCAGGCTGACATCCTGGCATTGCCTCAGCTTATATGGTCAAATTATATTTTTCTGAAGCATTTCTTCAGTGCCAGCAATATGAGCAACTGAAGTTTGACTGTCCTTTGATTTTGTCCTCTGGATAAATCTTCACTTTTGATTGGCATCCTGAGTGCTGAAGGAGGCTGTCTGATCCGAGCCCTGCTGCTGCAGGATACTGCTGGCAGGATTCAAACCCTTTCATATCAGGGTGAGTCATCAGAAATAATTTTGCAACCTTGAAGAGCTGTTGGCCAAACCAGGTCCTTTGTTGCGGGTTCTGGCACTCAGGAACTAACAATATGGAAAGCAGCTACCAAGGTCCTAAGGCTGTAAAGAGAATGTGGCAAAATCATCTTGTGAAGGAAGACTCTGAAAAACTTTCAGGTACAATATTTCTTTGAAGTTAGGGAAAAGAAAAGAATAGGAGGAGGAATCTAATACAAAGAGATTATGGACTTTAAACAAGATGGTGCAGTGTTATGGGTTTGCGTGGCAAGGTTTTGGTAGCAGGGGTGCTATAGGGGTGGCTTCTGTGAGAAGCTGCGAGAAGCTTCCCCCTTGTCTGATAGAGCCAATACCAGGTGGCTCTAAGACGGACCCACCACTGCCCAAGGCCAAGCCAATCAGCGACGGTGGTAGCACCTCTGGGATAACATATTTAAGCAGAGGAAGAAAAACGTCTGCAGGAGAGACAGCGGTTGAGAGAGAGGAGTGAGACTATGTGAGAGAAACAACTCTGCAGACACCAAGGTCACTGAAGAAGGAGGGGGAGGAGGTGCTCCAGACACCGGAGCAGAGAGCCTTCCCTTGCAACTCATGATGAAGACCATGGTGAGGCAGGTTGTTCCCCTGCGGGGTCACGTTGGAGAAGTTTGTGGAGAACTGTCTCACATGAGAGGGACCTCACGCTGGAGCAGGGGCAGAGTGTGAGGAGTCCTCCCCCTGAGGAGTAAGAAGTGGCAGAGACAACCTGTGACAAACTGACCATAACCCCCATTCCCTGTCCCCCTGTGCTGCTGAGGGGGAGGAGGGAGAGAAACGGGAGTGAAGCTGAGCCCAGGAAGAAGGGAGGGGTGGGGGGAAGGTGTTTTAAGATCTAGTTTTATTTCTCACTATCCTACTCTGATTTGATTGGTGATGAATTAAACTCCCTTTTCTCCCCAAGTTCAGTCTGTTTTGTCCGTGACAGTAATTGGTAAATGATCTCTCCCTGTCCTTATCTCAACCCCTGAGCCTTTCATCATATTCCCTCTCCCCTGTCCAGCTGAGGAGGGGGAATGATAGAGCAGTTTTGGTGGGCACCTGGCATTTATCCAGGCCAAACCAAAACATGCAGACACTTCCAACTGCATGAGAACCAAAGCAAAACACCATACCGAAACAGTTACTAACATCTGCCCTTCGCCTGGATGATACCGACGTTTCCCTCTCCTGTTGTCTCCTCTGTTATTGAAAAAGTGGGAAAAGACAAGAGGTGTTCTTTTGAGACAACAAGGGAGCAACAGAAGACAACTACAGAAATTTTAAGATGACAAAAGAGAAGCCTGAAAATCCCCTGCAGAAATTACTCACATTGATTTTTTAAATAGTACTTCTCATGATAAACCAAGTAATAAAATAAACAAACACCAACACAGAATGACTGATTGGGAATAAAACAGGAATCTACAGTGCAATCTCTTTGACTGTGTCAGTATAAACCTTGACAGATGGGCAGATTGTATGTGGACAGCTGTACAGCATGGTAAATGATATTCCAATAAACCAAAGATTGCTTGGGCTTCCATCCCGACTTCCTCCAGTAATAACATCAAATGGCCGCAAGGAGCAAGATTTTGTGGAGCAGAATTTTAAACGCTCATTACCATTTCTGAGATTGCACCTAGACCATTTAAGAATCTAATTTGGGAAGGTAACAGATGGTTAAATAGCTGAACAGCCCAGATTTCATCCACAAAATGGTGGGTCTAAAAACAAAAACACATTAGAGACTCAGAGAATGTTTAGTTCAGTAGGAACTGCAGTCACTTCAGGGAACTCTGAAGATAAATGACAACAGAAACAAATTATTCAAGCTTCTTCACAGAACAAACAGACTGAAAGAAATTAATTTTCCACATATAAAAATGGTCTTTTTTTTGGAACCAGCTTCCATAATAGAAACAGCTGGAAATCTACTGATGAAAATGAGAATGAAAGAAATTTTAGTAGGAAAAGAACAGATTTGTTCCTTTGGGTTTTTTTGTGTGTGGTTTTCATTGTGTGTGTGTGCTTTTAATTTGGATAAAGTTACGAAGAGATTTAGCTGTGCAGGAGGTATTATCTCAGAGTTATCTCTGTTATTACTGCTTTGGGCTAGTATGCTATTTCTTGGCATCACTTCTAGCCTTTCTTCTGTGAGTATCCTGTTTTTACATAGAAAAAAAATTATTGTAATAGTGTTTCTTGGGTGGTCGACAATGATTCATAACAGAGAATTTGAGAAAATGCTAATAGGCTCCTGCCTGACACCACAGAACAGCCTTAATCTGCAAGTGAGGAAATGCTAAGCTAAGAAAGCAAGCCTTCCAGGTGGATATACAGTTTGTATCGCAAAAGGACCTGTTTTAATGATGTTTTTACTAGCTGCTCAAACACAATGAACTATACTAT